CACAGAAAAATTTTAACTTTTTATTCTGAATTTTTAGAAAAATTTTGGGTATGCAGTTTTGTAGCCCATTAAATTTTAGGAGGTTAAAGTGCCAATTTCAAGGCGCTAAAAAAATCACGTTGATTTTTTGAATTTTTTTTAGCTGATTTTGTTGTGCATTTTCTTCAATATAAAGTATGCTCGATAATTTCTTTAATATGGAAGACAAGGCCTAGCACCGTCAGCAAAACCAATAACAACAATAATAATAATAGATTGGCGCTTTCACATATGTTAGTGTTTGGCCGAGCTTCTCCTCCGACCCAGTCGCTGCTTACCATTACACCACAGCGGCCGCCAACAATTATTACCTACCCAAATTTAATGGTCTGTAAAACTGCATACCAAAAATATTTCTGAAAATTCTGAATAAAAATGTTAAATATTTTTTGTGTGTAGTTGTTAAAGTTTGTTGAATTTTTGTAATTTTTCTGCGAAGTTTGAAATGTGGATTTGCGTGGTGGTGGTTGTGTAATCGTCTAGACTTTTATAAAAAATATGACATTAAATAAACAAAAGAAAAATAGCCAAAACTGATCAAAATGCCACTTAACTTAATCAGCTGACCACAAGGGTATGTATATATTTATATGCCTGCAGAACGTATGCGTTTTCCCAATTATTTATAACATTTTCTATGGCACCTGACTTATCGTTGTCTTGTTCCTGGTAAGCTGTCATTGACCTGCTGTTATTATTTGCGCGCGATCGATAAATCGCGTTTATTGTTTCCTTTTTTCAATTTCCTGCTCGTCATAAACGTTTATACATTTGTTCTCTTCCAAAAAAAAGGAGTGTCGCTCGAGGCATTTATTTGGGTGGCCTGGGTGGAGCATAAAAAATAACTTGCAACACGTTACCCAAGTACATAAATACATATACATATATAAATATGTACTTGCCATCAAATTCTTTACATTATTCTCCTTCAAATATGGGTGTGTCCTGTGAGTCATAAGAATCGAAAACTTTGGCAACATATTGAAAATATTCTTCAAAAATAATTAAAACAGTGCATTTATTTGAATACAAAAGTCTGTTATGAAAATCCAATTCTCATTATTACATAAAATATCCATAATAACTACATACATATATATTTCCCGCTTTTCATGCAACATTTACAAAGTAAGTATTTATAGTGTTTGATAAAAGTACTAAATTTTATTACATTTAATTTTGTTTGCTTGCAGGCTTCAAAATATTAACTAAATAAAAAATTGAGGTAGTGGAAAATATAAGAGAGCTCTGGAAAACCACTAATTCTAGCTAATTTTATCATAGAACGCATAGCGCCCTGCTATAGATGTCGTGCTCTTAAAGTTAAAGTTATAAATAATGTCTGCGCGCAATTACTATGAAATTTTGAAGACCCCACCAACAGCAAGCTTCGAAGAGCTGCGTCGTAATTACAAGCAATTAATTCTACAATGTCATCCGGATAAATTACAACATTATAACACCAATAGCATTAGCACAACAACAACTACTTCGAATTTTGATAATACCATCAGCGCGACTAATGATGCTGCGTCCACTTCTGCAGCTACTGTTGACCCAATTGTCGAAAACCCAACGGCTATGTATTCAGATCAGCACAGTAGAGAATTTGTTGCCATAAATGAAGCATGGAATACACTCAAAGATCCTACTAAACGACGCCTCTACGATGCTGAATTGATGTTGACAAAGCTCCAGGCCCACAGTAATATTTTTGCGCGTTTAACGCTAGCGGACATGAAACGTTGTGCCGCCACAACAACAACAAACGATGACAGTGGCAGTGACAATGGCGAA